TAAGAATTACGAGCAACAAACTGAGGAATGAAAAATCTTGCCTCATTCCTGAAATACTGACCGTTTGAAAAGATTCATTCAATAACCAAAACACTTGTAAGATTTCATCAGCAATAAAACAATGAAGTTTTAGCTCGATCGTTGTTCTATTACTAGCATAAATAAGCGATGAACGCTTCAACTCATAAACAAATGGTGAACTCTTTAGCTCATAGATAAGCAATGAGCTCTTCAGCTCATACAAGTGATTAGTTATTCATCTGATAGACAAATGATAAGCTCTTCAGCTTATAGACAAACGATGAGCTCTTCAACTCATACATAAGCGATGAGCTCTTCAACTTATAGGCAAATGGTGAGCTCTTCAGCTCACAAAAATTGAAATGAGTCATTCAGCTCATAAAATGGTGAGCTCTTCAACACAACTAACTATAAAGAGTTCTTGACAAATAGCCAAGTTTCTCAGATTGAAAATAGGCCTCATACTTGACAAAAAGCAAAATTGCTCCTACAAAGAACAAAGTTCTCCTTAAAGAAAGGGGGCAAGAGACAAATAATTTTTTCATTTTCAAAAACTAGAAGAAGCAATCTAGAAAAAGCAACTTCATTCACAAGGAAAAATTATTACAAGAAATCTTAAAACATCAGAAGATGGTTCAGTAGTAGCCTTAGGTAGCTCAGAGGCAAAAGGAACAACAAGAAGGTTAGGAGAGGCCTCAAAAGAAAATAGGTGCTAGAGTATCAACCTCTTCAGGATCAGCTGGGGCCAAAGTAACCTCAAAAACTCCCATCTCTGCCTCAAAAGGAACTAGCTCAAGAGCTTAAGACTCAGATTCAACAAAAACTTTGACCCCATTGCCAGTAGGGGGCTTCTCCCCACTTGGAACAACAGAAATAGAAACCTTGACCTCTTTATCAGCAGCTGACTTTTCTTTCTCCATGTACAGAGGAGGGTTGAAGTCAAAGTCTTGATTTGGGTATTTATCCATGGCCTGCTCTTGGAAGGCAAAATGCCATATAGCCCAGTTCGTAGCAAACTTATCTTTGAGCTTCGCAATCTGGGCATCCTTCTTTCGAGTCGTGGCCCTTTAAGCTTTGATCTCCTTCAGTAGGGTGGTATTGACCTCAGCCAACATGTTATACTCATTCTTCATAGACTGAAGAGAGTCGTAAGCCTCAAATGTGACATTCTGTGCCTAAAGCAAGCTATCAGTCTTAAGCTTGAGCTCCTTCGCCTTCTTAGCCTCAACCTCTAGACCCTTGTTTGTTGAGGCCAACCTCTTAACTTGAGCCTTCAGGTCCTCGTTGGTAAAGGTCAAATCTATAACCTTGAGCTCGGCTACGCTCTCCAAAGCCCGAATTAGACTCACCAAGGCACTTACATGAATGGCCAACTAAGAGAAGCAAAAGAAAAAGCTATCTACTTAAAGCAAAGATAGAACTTAGGGAACTCAAGGCTCACCAAAGCTACTCCATACAAAGTAGTGGTGGCAGAGGTGGACAACGGCACCATCAAGACCTCTTAGATGTCTAACTCAGGGATGACAGACGCAATAACCTCGACAGCAAGGTTTACGTTCCTAATAAGCGAACCCTTTCCTTTCGTTGCCTTTCCTAATGAGCTCTCCACAAGCAAACAAGGAACCTTCTATATAGTCCTAGAAGGAAAAGGCTCTCACAGAGTGGAGCAATGGCCTCAAGAGCCCTAACAACCTCTGTAGATGAAGGAGAAGATGAGGACCCCACAAAAGAAAGATAAGACATTGCTGGAGTCATCAGGGGAAGAGGGATCCCTTGGGAAGTGGAGACCATCGTAGTCTGTACCAATGAAGAAGTTTTTCTAAAGAGCCGATAGAGGAGAGGATGAGCTCACTCTTGGTACCTTCTAAGTAGAGCTTGGGTCTTGCCCATAATCGACCTCGGCCTTACGCTTTCCCCCAATTTTGCCTTTCCTAAATTGGGTCCCCTTGGCCCTCACAACTTCAACATCTGGAGCCATCTAGCTTGAACCTAAGAAATCAGAGTAAGTTGATTATACAAAAAAAAGAAAAAAGAAAAAAAGAAAAAAAAACTAGAAATGAAGAAAAAGGAGTCTTACTAGCAGGATCTTTAGCACCCAGCCACATATATTGGAATAGGAATCTCAACTCTCACTTTAGGAGGACTAAACCCGAACTGAGTGAGCACCACAGGTCTAAGAAGATTAGAATATTTCTTTGGTTCTTAACTCTCCAAGCCCAATAAGACTATCTTGTCCTCAACGCTGAGTTTGGGTTGAATATCTGAAAGTGATAAAAGAAACAAGGTTAGCAAATGAAAACACAAGGCTATAAGGCTAGACCAAGCCTTCTTAGGCAAAACTTACCCAAATTATCAAGGATCATACCAAGCTTGAGGTACAAGAAGTGTGTCAGCCGTATCCTTGGGATTATAATCTCATTCTTTCCTAGACACAAAAAGAAGAGCTTCTTCCATCCCTTGTGGGAGCTCAAGAGGTCAGTGATTAGAACTTGGGTCTTCACCTATTGGCAATATATAGAAAGCCATTAGAAGGGCTAACCTTGACGTTAAAGAACTTCATAAGAAAGGGTACCGTGGGGATACCAAGCTCGTTCTTCTTGAAGAAAACTAGACCCACTAGAACACCCAAAAATTTAGGAGAAAGCTGAGTAGGACAAACATTAAAATGTTGAAGAACATTCTTGAGGAAGGGGTGTATAGGAAACTGAAGGCCATTCTTAAAAGAAGCTACAAAGAAACAAACTTTCTTTGGGACCATGCTGTCATACTGAATGTCCACGTTTGGAGACCAATACTGCATAATCCTTGTGAAACCAAATTGAGCTGAAAGGACACTTAGAAAATGAGGGGTAACCTCGCTGAAATCCATGAGGTCTGAGGCTCTAGGGGTGACCTCTGTGTCCCCAACATTGCCGAAAATCCCAACATCGTTCACCTTGGATTTCCCTTTTTGAAACTTCTTACATCTCAGAACAGGATGAGACAACGTTATAGGGACCTTTGCCTCCTCCCCAACATCAACTTGAGTAGACAATTGGTATGTTTGGACACAGCTTTTCAATCAGCCTTTTTTATGCTGTTTTGCCCAAGCAACATAAAATAGCTTCCCTTATTTGGGCCTCAACTTTTTCACTAGCTTTTATAATGGCTTTTGACCTAAAAAAGTCATTTTGAAAGGCTTTTTATTGACTTTTTCCCTACAGTTTTAAACCTATACTTCGCAATCAAAAAAGTCAACTCTAAACAGATCCAATATGACAATTGCATAACCATTTTCATTTAAAATAAACAATCATTCAATTTAGAGGCATTGTGAAACCAATCAATTGGATTACAGGACAATATGAGAAAATAATAAAGGACCAAAGTGAATTTAGTGCACAAATTTGAGGGATGAAATATAATTAATTTAAAGTTGATTTTTTTTTTGGATGTGTCAATTTTCAAGATAAATATTTAATGTAGTGATGATACTAAGTTATCATTAGGGGTGGGCTTCGACTCCGATGGAGTCAGAAGGCATGATTCCGAACTCTAACTCTAACTTCAGTCAGAGTGAATTTTTTCCTCCGATTCTGAATCTGCACTACAATGACTCTGCCTTCCACTATCGCAAATCAAAATTGGAACAGAGTTGAAGTTGGAGTGGAGTTTTCAAAAATTGACACAGTCCAAAAAAGTAAACAATACCATAATTTTGTCGAATGTTCGTCATATATATATATATATAAAGAGAGAGAAGATAGAGAAAGAGAGAGAGAGAGAGTTCAAATTCGAGATCTGTGCTTCAAGCCTTCAATTAGAGCAACTGAGAGATAGACAAAGTGATTGCCAAGATTTGAGATCCACAAACTTCAATCAGAGTGACTGAGAGAGATGGAGGGTTACTGTGTCTTGCCTATCCAGACTTCGACTTAGACTGAGAGAAGCGAGAGATGAAATTAGTGGAGGTTTAGAGAGAGAGAGACGAAATTAGTGGAGGTGTAGGAAGCATAGATGAGTGCATGACTGAGGAGATGAGTTAGGGTTTTAAAATTAATAATACAATAATAGATACTTCTAGGTGTGTAGTTTTTTTTTCCTAAGCGTTTAGTCCAATCTAATATATTATTTAATTTAGTCGAAGTCTTCTAAATGACTGGGTCTTAAAATTAATAATAATATATTATATAATTTATCTAAAATTATTATTTAATAAAAGTTAGAGTCGGAATCGGAGTCAGATCAGAGTTTTTTTAGAAAAGGTTTCAAACTCTGAGTCTGACTTCGACAAGCAGAGTCCGAGTCCGACCGGAGTCGAATTGAGAGTTTGATTTTTGAATTCTTGCACATCCCTAATTATCATTGACACTTGATATTACTTACTAATTATTAACAATCAACTAGAACTAGTGTTTCCACTAATCTAACATGGTTGCTATAATAGATATGAAAGTTATTGGTGATAATGTAATTTGGTGGATCCTCTGGCCCTATTTAATTTGATTACAATTGACTAATGATATTATAATGTCATATCACTGATATATTAATTTTTGAATAAATTATACCTTGATCCCTTAAGTTAGACTTGATTTTACTTTGCCTTTGAACTGTTGAATTTTTTTCATTGCTCACTCAATTATTTGAATTATTTCGCATTGCTCCAATAGTAAACACCTGCTATCTAAAATAATTATATGGTGAAAGTCTAATTTATCCTTAAATATTTTCAAAAAAGAATCAAATAGCTGACAACTTAAAAGAAAAAAAAAACAAAAACAAAATATAGAATTTCGTGTGTCCTTTCCATCTTGCAGAAAGCAGAATCTATTGAAATCGATCAGTCCCATTTTGTTGATGAACACCAACGCATACCAGACCAAAAAAAAAAAAAACACCAACGCATACCAGACAAAAAAAAAAAAACACCAACGCGTACAAAGCTCTCTGAAAGATCAAATACCTCGAAAGAGTGACAGAGATTAGGGTTCTTGGAAATGGATGGTTCAGCTCAGCCCGCCGATACGATGATGACAGAGGCGGCGCCGCCCCAGCAATCCGACCACCAGCCGCAGCTCCCGGTGGCCGGGGGGATCGACAACATTCCGGCCACTTTAAGCCATGGTGGAAGGTTCATTCAATACAATATCTTTGGTAATATCTTCGAGGTCACCGCCAAGTATAAGCCCCCAATCATGCCAATCGGCAAAGGCGCTTATGGCATCGTCTGGTAAATTCATTCAAATTCCAAGTTTTTTATGGAAATTTGATTCACTAATCGGATTATTATCAATGTTGCAAAAATATTTAGTAGAAGCCCATGAGATGGTTCTTGAATTCTGTTTTTTGTTGTTAGTTCGGCTTTGAATTCGGAGACGAATGAGCATGTTGCAATAAAGAAGATTGCGAATGCTTTTGATAATAGAATTGATGCAAAGAGGACGTTGCGCGAGATCAAGCTTCTTCGCCACATGGATCATGAAAACGTCAGTGAGTAATTTTTAGTTCAATGTTTTGTGATCATATTGAAAAATAGATTTTTTTTTTTCAAATTTTACAATGGGATTCAGACCCAGTAAAATCTAGTCTCTGTTGAAAATGCACACCTAAGTACTTGGGAATGAACTGTTCTTCCAAATAAAAATGGAATTAATCATTGGAAAATAAGTAAGGAACCACTCTTTAATGATTCGAGTAGTTAGAAATAAGAAAGAATTAGTTTTTTATGGTTAATGCCTTTTTGTCTGTCAATTACTCTGTTTTGTGTCTGCATCCATCATATATGATTTTGTGGGCACCAATCTCCTCGCAAATGTGTAATGCATGGAAGTTAACATAACCTTGATTGATATTTTCGAATTTGGTTCCACTCTTTATTTATTTAACCCTTATTTTTTTCCCTCTCTTGTATGTTGGGAAGGACACGACAATACAGGGTTGTAGGCCAAATTTCAAAAACACAAAACACGGGGCAGCCTTCTTTGATTTGTGTGGATATGTTAATACCCCCTTTTGACACCCAACTCTTCCTTTGCCTTTTGACTATGATCCGAAATTAGAGTTACCATAAATTGCTTACACCCTAGCAATTTCATTTTTTGAATGGATTTCCTGGAACATGGTTAAAAGTATGCAAGATGCTAAAATCAGTCTTTAGTTAAATGCCATTACGCTTTATCAAAGTCTTTGTCGTTACAGTATGGCACATAGTGTTATAATAGATTTCTGAAGTGCATAAAAATTGGTGGACTATATTTCATTATTATAACTTGTTTAGAGAAAATTCTATTTTTTCTTCTTAACAAAAAGAAAATTCTATTTGCATTAGAAATACTCAATGCATTCATTGTAAGAGATATGCCGACTTCTATTGTGTCAATTTTTAGATTATATGGTGCAATGCATTTTCAATCCCTTTCTACCAGCTAAATGTCCATGTTCTACAAATACTGATAGGAAAACTAATAATGCAAAGGAACTTTCGGTTGAAGTAGTTTGATGCTCAAATAAATTACAAATCACTTAAAGAAAAACATTTTACATAGACTTGTAGCTACACATTTTGGGGCAAATATTTGGATGTGGTTATGATTCAACAAAGTTAGTTGGAATTCAGTTAAATGTTTGTAAAAATCTGTCTAATGATTAAGAATTTTAAATTGTTTGTTTCTATATGTCAATTGAATACCAAATTGAAGTCCAGATGTGCTTTGGACTCACTTGATTGCAGCTTTAAAACCACGGAGTCTACTCATGCTCTGAATGCTCCTTGTGTGCTGTTACGATTTGAACACATTTTTGTACCAGGTCAATGCACTGACCGAATTCTGCTTCAAAAATGTAGTAGTCTAATGTTGTCTTTATAAAAAATGGCCATCTTACTGAATCTGAAAGGTTGACTATGACAAAAACATAGTTATTTCTCCCTTTAAGAGATAGGACAATCGTCGTACGAAATCTATGGTATGCTTTTCCCATGGCTAGGAAGGTACTAGGGTGATAAAGTCCCAACTTCCTGATGGATGGCTTCGACGTGACTCATTACAGACGTCATATATGAGATGACGAGCCCCAGTTTTGGATGGATCATTCTTCCCTTGTCGGGTTATAATCTATGACTGGGTCAAGGTCATTCATTATGTTTTGCAGCCCAATTTCTGAGTGGGCCCAACTCAGACGTGTCCAGTAGCTCCAACCTAAGCCTGCTTCAATCCCAAGTCCTTGGTTCAGTTCAAGTGTGTCCAACCCAGTCCTGTTCATACCGGTTCAGTACGGTTTAGTTTAGACCAGATCCCACTCGGTTCCCTTCGGCTCACTCTGGTTCACTCATGTTCAGGTTGTTTATCACCGGTTCTGTTGTTTTCTCACTTGTTCATCCCTTTCCATCTGTTTTGAAGCTGGTTTTGCTCACATCGATGGTGTTCAGGTCGGTTCAGTGGCTTTTCTAACCGGTTCACGTATATTCTGCCTGGTTTAGCTTCTTTTATCACCAGTTCTGGCCTTCATTGGTGCAGATCTGTCTTGGTTCTGCTTTCTGAGGTTAGTTCCCATTATTATTAGTCCAGGTTTTCCGTCTCTTTACCTGTTTTTGCACTGTTCCGAAGATGGTACCGACTCTACCTTGTTCCAGCTTTGCTTCAGCCACTGTTTAGCCTATTTTGACTTTTTCTTTGTTACTGAATTCTAGTTTGTTTAATAAGGAATTTGGTCTAGGCTCTTTAGGAAGCTGCTGGTAGAAATTTGTGCGCCAAGGGCAAGAAGGGTTCCCCATGATGAACACAATTTTATCAGCCCAAACAATTGGGGAGTAGTTCTCTTCATAGCTCTAGAGTTCGTCTCGTGGTGAAAAGTTCAAAGTGAATCTATGCTTTGTAGATTCATTTTTATGCATCAGTTATCATATATAAGGTTAGGGGTGTCAATTTTACCCCAAAACTCGAAACGACTTGACACAAGACTTGAAAATGACCCGATTAATTGACATGTAAAACAAATGGTTCAAATTAATGTTAGACACGAATAAAAAGATTAACGGGTATTGTAGACAAATAATAAGTATTTAATGGGTTCTGTAGCTAGAAAATTGTTATTTTATAATTTTTTCAAAATATTTAAATAGTATTATATCAAGAGTTGTAAATAAGTTTTTATTGACACGAATATGATACGTACCAAAAATGACACGACATGAAATGAAAGTAAAATGGCACAAAAATAACATGACAAGACACGATTGACACCCCAGTATAAGGTGTTTATGCTTCTGATTTTATGCTTGCTTTAGGATTGTAGTCTCTAGATTTTTCGGCGGGGTAGAAGAAATTCCATATCAACGTGATTTGCATTTTCTAGGAAAGTTGATAATCTTCTCTATGTTGCATTGCCTTAGAGTGGGGCAACCACACAAATTCTTGTGTTTTGTTTTCTTTGTTATGTATGCTACTTACTTTTGTGGGCCTCATTGAGTCCAAATTTGCATGTGCTTTAATATCCATAATGCCAATAGTGGCACCATCGAACCAGGTTTAGGTAGTGGACATGGGCCTTGCTAAAGACAAAGAGTTGGGCAATTCTACTGTTAGGTTGGAGGTGGGCTCAAAGGATTTAGACCAAGTTGACCCAATAACCAACAGAATGGTCCCATGAAAGACGGGTTTTCATTTAAAACAAAAGCTTTTTATGTAAAGGCACGACTAACAAGAGCATTACTTTAGCTGAAAAGATGAAAAGGGAAAGAGGTGATTCTCTTGAAGGCTAAGGCTTCTTCAAAGTTTTTGCGATGAGGGTTGAGGTCGATTCGCATTGGGAAGCCTCCAAGAGAATGGTGACAAGGAGTGATTCTATAGAAGAACAAAGCTTCAATAGAAACATGCTATGGAATTTGGAGGAAAAACACATGAACTTGTCCTTTGATCTCATCGATGAAAGGGATTTTGACTAAATCGATCAATAGTAAGCTCTCCATGCTCTCCCCTTGAGGGATTCAAAGGGTGAAGAGTTAGAAGAAGGTCTTTTTAATGCAATGAGGTTTGATTTGAATTCAACCTTTCCTCCAAGTATGATGATTCAATTGTTGACTCTGAAGGTTTGGAAGGAGAAAGTTTTGAGGAGAAGTCGAGTGTGGCTGATTCCTTTATTGGAGTTGGGAATTGTTTGATGAGGAGGGGATTCGATTCAATGCGACTACTGACCAAGAGCTTCAGTTTGGTAGGAGCTGTACGCCCTTGGATGGGTTTCTTGGGCTTGGAAAGTCATCTCAAATGGGGGAACTCAGAGAGTGGGAGTGGGGAAGTGAAAAAATTAATAGATTTTTTTTTTTTTTTGGGGGGGGGGAGTGTCCTGCGTCATGGGAAGGGTCTTTCTCTCTCTCTCTTTTTTTTTATTTTGATTCTCTAGTTTCTTTTGACCCTGTAAACCCAGAGAGGGATGTTTCTAGAGATATTTGTTATAGTCAAACTACCACACAGATCGAGGGACCACTTGAGGGGATTGGCAAGGGAATAGTTGTTTTTTTGGTAACCTTAATGACACAAAAGTTCAGCCAGTAAAGTTTGTTGGAAACCTGGTAGTTAGGGGAGGGGAGGGGGGGGAGGGGAGGGGGGGGGGTGGGGTTATTGGACACTAGTGAACTTGTGTGCCAAATTAAAGAGAATGGAGGGGATTCCCCCTTGGATGTTTTGGGTTCAGGGGGAATAAGAATGAGTTTCTCTTTGATGATAAAGGGTGGAGTAAACTAATGGATTTTTTTGGCTTCTATCGGCATTTCTTTGGTCCCTGTTAAAGGGAGGGGTAAAAAATTGGACAAAAAGAAGGGAATTAAGGAACATAGGGCTTAAATGAATTAAAAAACTTAGAATCAAGAGTAAACTAGTAAGGTGGCAATGTGAGGAAAAAAATTGGGGGTGACATTGGTTTTAATGAAAATGGTTAGTTGGAATGAGAGATGTTTAGGTGGTAGGGATAAAAAGAAAACAATTAGGGAGATGTTAGTAAAATGTGATTCAGAAATTGCAATCTTGCAAGAGATAAAAAAGAACATATTTTTAGCAATACAATAGTGACTAGTATTTGTGGGGTTAGATTTAAGGAGTGGTTTATTTGCTATTGTGTGGGAGATCGGGAGGAATTACAACTTTGTTGGATGTTAGGTTTGTGTTTGTATTGGAGTTAGTTTTAGGGGAATTTTTAGTGTCAATACACTTCAGAATGAGAGAAGGGATGGACTGGTGGCTGGCTGGGATATACGAGCCCAATAGGCTAAGGGATATGGGAGGTTTTGAGACGAATTGATAGAGTTAGATGATTTATGTGGTCCTAGGTGGTGTTTGGGAGGTCATTTTATTGTTACATTATTTAAAAGTTGAATGGGGATAGGAATACTAGAAGTGTGAGAGATTTTAATGATTTTATTGGTGAGACAGGTTTGATAGACCTATGCTTTATTCACATGGTCCAATTTTAGAGTCAATGTAGTCTGTTGTAGCCTAGGTTTTTGTTTACGTCTTGGTGGGAGGAGTGTTTTACTTATGTTAGACATGATGCTTTAGCTAGGGCAACTTTTGATCATTGTCCTATCATTCTAGATTCAATTTGTCTTTAGGTGGGGCCTAGTATCTTTTAGATTTGAGGATATGTGGTTAGAGCATCATTTGTTTTAAGGGTAGTTTTAAGTCTTGGTTGTAAGAATCTTCAATGCATGGATGGGGGGGATGTAAGTTTAATAAGCAGTTGGAACATGTCAAAAATAGGTGAAGAGATGGAATAGAGAGGTGTTTGGTGATATTAGGTTGGAAAAGAACAAAAGTTGTAACCGTATTGAGGAATTGGATAAGGTCGAATGTGATGGAGGGATGAATAAGGAGTTAAGGAAGGAAAAGTGTGTTTTAAAATTAGATTTGAGGAAGTATTGTTTAAAGAAAAGATGTCATGGAGGCCAAAAACAAAGATAAAGTTAGTGGAAGAAGGGTATAGTAAAGGCTATTTCATTGGGTTGCAAAATGGGAGGAAAAAGAAAAATCTTATTACGAAGTTGGAAGTGGAAGATGGAGTAATTTTGGACTAGGAAGAAAGAATAGTTAAAGAAATTATTAAGTTTTATGAGAAACTATAATTAGAAGATGAGAGTGTGAGGGTTAGATTGATGTCCTATTAGTGAAGGGAAAACGTTTTAATTAGAGAGACCCTTTGAGGAGATGGAGGTGGAAGAGATTGTTACTGGATGATTTTTCAACGGTGATGCTCCAAGATTGTTGGGAAATTATTAAGGAAGATTTGATGAAGATGTTCATGGAGTTTTTTTGAAATGGAATAGCGAATGCAATATTAATTTGACATACATTTGTTTGATCTAAAAAAATTAGAATTCTTTGAAAGTTAATGATTTTCGGTCTATTAATTTGATGACTAGTTTGTACAAGATTTTGGCAAAAGTTTTATCGGGACATAATTTCAAATTACCAACGTGATTTTGTTAGAGGAAAGAACATTACTCAATCAGGTGGTTGAGGAGTATATAACTCATGGAAAATAAGGTCTGATTTATAAAATTGATTTTGAGAAGGCATATAATTATATTAATTGGGCCTTTTTGGATTTTGTTTTAGAGGGTAAAGGGTTTGGATGTAGAAGGAGGAGGTGGATTAATGGGTGTTTAGAGTTGATGAATTTTTCTTTGGTGATTAATGGAAAACCATGAGGGAAATTTAATGCTTCTAGGGGCTTAGGCTAGGAGATCCTTTGTCACCATTCTTATTTACTTTAGTTACGGATTGACTTAGTCGTTTAGTTGAGAGAGCTGGGGAGCATAATATCATTGAGGGATTTAGGGTGTGTAGGGATTTTGTAGAGGTTTCACATCTATAGTTCGTAGATGATACAATTTTCTTCCTTTCTGGAGATGAAGGAAAATTTTAGAATCTAGGAGAGGTCATTAAGGTTTTTAGCTTCATGTTGGGATTGAAAGTCAATATGTCCAAGGGTATGTTTGTTGGGATTAATGTTCATTGAGAGATGTTAGCTAGGGTTGTCGGAAAGAGAGGATGTGAGGTTGGAGAATGACCTTTGAAATATTTGGGGTTGCCTTGGGGGGGGGGGGGGAATCCATTATCAGTGAATTTTTGAAATCTAGTTATTGAAAGGGTTAAAAAAAGATTAGATGGGTAAAAATCTGTTTATCTAGGGTGGGAGACTTACTTTAGTCCAATTAGTCTTGGCTAGCATACCCATTTATTATTTGTCACTTTTTAAAGATCCCTAGGAAGATAGCTTTTCGAATTGAACAATTGATGAAGGATTTTTTGTGAGAAGGGAGTGGGGAAGGAAGGAAGAAAGGACCATTTGGTTAGATGAGACGTAGTGACTAGAATTAATAGGAAAGGGGGTTGGGTGTGGGAAATTTGATAAAGAAAAAAAATACTTTGTTAAGAAAGTGGTTATAGAGGTTTCCAATAGAACAAGGGACGTTGTGGTATGATGTTATCAAAAGCCAATATGGTCTTGATCCTAGTGAGTGGGACTAATGTTACATGGATCATAGATTGATTTGGTACGGGTATGGATGTTTTTTCTAATACGTGGTACGATGGGATGAGCTTAGTTGGTATGCTATTTTGGATCGTTGCTCGTTTTGTAACTTTTATATAGAATATATATCCATACACATGTAGTTAATAAGTGTGTATTTTATATTTTTGATAAATGTTAAAGCATGTGTTTAAAGAACATCAAAATAAATAAATAACAAGTTAGAGTTATGATTCAGGGTTGGGGTTATGATGTGAGATTACTTAGATCATGAATCAATTTGTGGTTTGAGTTATAATTTGGGGTCGGGAATTTGAACGATAGATCTCGAACCCACCTCGTTTCGGTTCGTACGACCATGGTTTATGGTACGCTAGGGGTGTTTACAATCCTGATATCTATGGGTAGGACTCGAATGTGGTTATGAGGGGTTTGTTTCGATGTCTTTGAAAATTTATTTCATAGGGTTGATTGGATTTTTTTAGGTCTATAAAAATGGGAGTGAGAAATGGTGAGTGGTGATAGAGTTCAGTTTTGGAAAGATACATGGATTGGGGATTCTCCCTTTTTTTTTTGGTCTTATCACCATCTTTTTAGGTTTTCTAGGTCTTAAGAAGATTCCATATCAATCATGTACTTTGTCTCTTCGTCTCATGGGGATTGGTATTTCAAATTTTATGGGCATTAAATGATTGGGAAATATTGGAGCTTACATCTTTGTTCTCTTTACTTCAACTTGTGTCTTTATTGGTTGGGGTGGAGGATAGAAGGAGGTTGATTATTGATTCGTCATGCATTTTCTTGCAAATCTTACTTTCATTCTTTGATTGATGATCATTGTTCCCCAAACTTTGAACCCCATAGAATGATTTGGAAGGTTAAAGTGTCTTCTAAAGTGTAGGCTTTTGCTTGGACAGTGGCTCTGGAAACCACGGTGCATTTTGTGTAGGAATACTAATGAAAGTGTGGAATGTGGATCATATTTTTCTCCATTTCCCGGTGACAATGAAATTGTGGTTTAGTCTTTAGAGCTTTGGGGGAATTTGGATTGAGCTGGGTGTTTCCAATAGGTTGTTTCGCTCTTTTGGGGATAAATTTTGGTGTGTAGTTATGGCAATACTTATGAGTGGTGTGGTTGGCAAGAAATAACAAAATCTTCGAAGCGAGAGAAGAAAAGAAAGAGTTTCTTTGGGATAGAGCAAAGTTTGTGGCGTTCTCATGGACCTCAATGACCAAAGAGTTTAAGGATTTGCCTTTTTACGTTCTTACTATTGATTGGATTGCTGAATGTAGCTAGGAGAGGTCTAGTGGTGTCATAGGAATATATTGTTTTTCTTTTGATGCAACTCTTTTTTGGATCATTGCAGGTTGGATATCTTGTCCACCTATTTTTTGTAAACCTTCATTTAATGAATGAAAGATTTGTTTCTTTTAAAAAAAATAGTGGCATCAAAGCTGGTTTGAAGTATCCACAAGAATGTTTATTAGAGCCATCAATTCTTGTGTTTGGTTTAGATGTTACGTATTTTACTTACTTTTGCCTGCCTAATTGAGCCTAAATTTTCATGCATGATTTTATCATCTCTAATAGCAACAGCGGCACCAAAGTTTATGGGAAATATCCACAAAAATATGTATTAATGCCCTGGGAATTCTCACTCCCCCCACCCCAAACGAAAAAAAAAAATTTGTGTTTGTCATTGTTTTTCCATCTCCTCAAGTTATGAGTTGAAATATCAACTTCATGCCTCCTTCAGCAAATACTCTCCTGTATCTAAATTCTAACCTTTAAAGGCCATACAGCTCCATCTATCACCTTTCCCTGTTCTAGACATGTAGACCAGGATTTCTTTGGATTTTGCATCACTTCTGTTTTTCGTTTTTATTTTACTTTTTGGGATGGTTAATCTTTGCAGTAGGCTAGACAAACTTCTTGTACTGATGTTATTTTTTTCAGTCAGCTTTTGCACACTTGTACTGAAATTAAATTTTTATGGTCTTTAGGCTTGTTTTTCATCTGCTCATTTATTTATTGAAGTTGTTTTGTGGCCCACAACCAAAAGCTTTACTGGAGGAAAAATTATGTCAATGCTATATGGCTTGGTTCAAGTTTGTCGTTGACTAATAGTATCATTTGCCTTAATTGTGCAGGTTGTTGCAATTAGAGACATAATACCACCTCCTCAGAGGGAGTCATTTAATGACGTTTACATTGCATATGAACTGATGGATACTGATCTTCATCAGATTATTCGTTCTAACCAAGCATTATCAGAGGAGCATTGCCAGGTTTATTTTTCAACATTTATTCCTGTCAAAGTACCACCTTCATGAAAACTCTAACTTCTTTGGTACTTCTAAGACTTTATATGTTTTGACTTCTAGATTCTTACTTAAGAGGAACTCAATTGATTAATTTGTATTGGTTTTACTAGTGGTTCTGCAAACATCTTGTCCAATAATGCTACCCATATGGCTATTTTTTCTTTCAAACCCAAGGGCATCTCATCTTATCTTATCATAGCTTCATTGTTCTTTGTTTGTTCTTCATATGAAACAAAGACTTTAATTCCATCGCAATTATTAAGTACACAAAATGGTGGATAAAATATTCAACTTAGATTGTTGTTTATTAACTTTCTGTCGTTTTACCGTAATGGTGTGGTAATCCTTGTTGATTGCACATGACAAGCAACCAAAGACATGGAAGCGATGTTGCCTTCCACTGGAAAAGGCCAATCTATGGTAGAAGAGAGTGTTCCATCAGACTAATTACTCATTCTGGATGACCGTGTATCGTTTTCTATTACAAAAAGTAGGGGACAAGGTTTTGAAAATCATCCATTACTGTGTGTAACAGCCATTATGTAACAGGTAAGGGCAGCCTCCATTCCCATTACTCACTGATATCTTGCTTGGGATTTTTTCGCACATGTAATGTCGGATACAGATCCATAACAGCCCATAACGGGTGATATGGGGCATTACTATCCAGAAACTTAGTAGCCAATAAAAACAGATCGGATCAGATTTTTCACTCAAAATCCAGATTTTCATCAACCAATTCTTCATCACCAAACCATAGATTAGCTGAAGATTGGGCGTAAAAACCCAGAACATGAAGATGAGGCCAGTGATGGAGAATTTCCTCATCAATGATTGATTTTTGATGGAGAGCCATATGATTACAAACACAGAAAGAGAGAAAGGTGAATGGGGTGGCGGGAGAGGCCGATGTGGAAGAGCAATTTGTACAAAGATGCTGAGGCGGGGTTCGTGTTGGTGCGGGGCAACTGTTTGCATCTAGTAAAAGAGTAAAGCCAATGAAGAAACTGGTCACTTAGTGGGCATACTGGTCACGTAGGGCATATCCATTTACTCTCTGTTTTCGTTGATTATATGTGAAGCCACCCTGCCATGTAGTGAATGGAAAGAATAAAGTATACAATTGAAGAGTTAACAAATTTGGCAATACAGATGAGTATTATTATTCTTTATCAAAATTTCTACACAAACCAATTATTTCTTTTTGATGGTTTTTGTAGTGTACTTGATTTTAGTTCAAGTAACCAGTTCATAGATGGAATTGAAATGCTTTGTGCATATATAATTTTGGTTTTTTGTGATAATGAAGCCATTCTTTTCATAGTGATGCTTCAAAAAAATAATGTATATTCACTGAACATATAAGAAACATTGATAGTCTGACGGCATGAAAAATCACTAAAAATTCTGTAATTGGGGTTTTAGAGTTGAAAGGTGTAAACATTTATCTTGTGGGTGAGGTGTGAATTGTTGAAGCCCACCATAGTTTCAATTCACACTTTCGATTTCCATTACCATTACATGACATCCCTCTCACCCCACGTCCGTTACTCGTTAGTGTTACCATTACCGCTATTTAAAACCAGGGCATCTTACTACTAAATATATCCTCCCATATCTCTCTATAAGCACCAAGTACCTCCAGAAAATGCAAGAAAAGCACGTCGACGTAGTGGTCACTTTGTCCCAGAACAAGTGATTCTTTGATGCCGTCCGTTGAAAAAAAGTTTCCCAACTTGATTGAGACCTAAATCTTCATTAATCCACTAAGTAACCAAGAAATTTTCCTCATGTTACTCCGAAAGGCACACTTCATGGGCTTCATCTTCAGCTCACGTATATGCTATTAGTGATGATGCCGGTGGTTATGGGTATGGATCCACAGAAGATGATAGCTTTCTCAGGGTTTTAAACAGTTGCTGACATGTTGATTTGCCTCTTGGTAACGGGAAATAGAGTCAGTCCTAAGCTTGCTTGTGCTTTTTCTTACTGCATTTTTATCTTCTTTTAACTCTTTTATGACATTAATTTGTACAATAATATCTTCAAACCGGTACTATTGCAAAACTGTATTGCACATGATTGACAATTGAAGATGTAAAACCAAAAGGGTTTTATTTGTTAAATAATTGCTGAACATTTAATTTGTTTGGAAGTTTGTTGTGATAATAAAAAGCAGAGGACAAATGGATGTTTCTCACACATTTCTTGAAATCTGCAAGAAAAGTCAGATAAAATTGAAGCAATGTATAATAAGCAGAACACAGTGATTAGTTTTGTATAAAATATTTACTTGTGCAGCAACATGCAAATGCAAAATGTTGAATAGTAATGATTATAACTTCAGAGGCTTGAAGCACATCTATTGTCATGTCTTATTTCATAGAGATAGGTTTCTAAAGCCTAAAGGAGAGGGAGGAAGAGGCATAGTGTCCTCAAGACTTCTCCCTATCCGATACACTAAGCCAGCATTGTCCTGTCTGATACATCTGAAAACACAGGCCAAAATCTCATTTCATCCGTCTCAGTTTCATTTCATTCTTCTCAGCTTATGCTCTGTTTGACCATTGACAAAGTTTTTGAAAATATAAATTGGGGCTAGATTAATTGAATCAAATTTAAATGTCACACAATTAAATTACTTTAGCTTTCAATCTTGTAGATATTGCAGGTGTTATATCCTTAAACATATGGTTTTTCAAATCTGTGGTTGGATATATGACAGTTAGACATGACAGCACACTAATCTCAGTCCTCAAAATGAGAAGATATTTTGAAATATCCTGTCTCCGATGAAGTTTTGTTCATTTATTGTGACCAACCAAAAAGAAATAAAAAAATTGTGTCCTACTTATTTGACATTTTATGGTTTATTTTGTTTTATAATCTATGTTGTCATTTCTCCTTTTAATTAATCATGGTAATTAGCTTGAAATAACTATTTTGATATTTGGTGCAGTATTTCTTGTATCAAATCCTCCGTGGGTTGAAATACATACATTCTGCAAATGTTCTGCACAGGGACTTGAAGCCTAGCAATCTTCTTCTCAATGCCAACTGTGATTTAAAAATTTGTGATTTTGGATTAGCACGTGTCACCTCTGAGACCGATTTTATGACAGAATACGTTGTTACAAGGTGGTATCGGGCACCGGAGCTCTTGCTAAATTCTTCTGATTATACAGCGGCTATTGATGTATGGTCAGTGGGTTGCATTTTCATGGAATTGATGGATCGAAAGCCGTTGTTTCCTGGCAGAGATCATGTGCACCAGCTACGGTTGCTTATGGAGGTGATTATATCTCCAGAATGTCTCTTCGTTTCCTTGGAAGATATATTCTTGTATGATAATCCTTTATGTTAGGACTTGAAAGAACCATATATTGCTAGCCGGGAGAACATGTGTATTATTTTTAATAAAAGAATGCATAATGGTTTTCTTTTAGAGTAATGCCACAAAATTCAAATGAAACCCAAAAAGTTGCAACCCAATTGCATATCATCCATTAAATGAGTGGGTCCCATTAATTTTTTCAGTGGGAGTCACTCATTCCACACTTATTCAAGGGATGATATGTGTTTGAGTTTTACTTTTGGGTTTCATTTGGGTTATATAGCATTTTCCTTTCTTTTAACCTCATTTAAATTTTTGCATGAGATTGTGTTGTTATACTATTGTATAGGAAACATACTTAACGAGGTGTCTTCATAAACAATTGTGAAGCAGCATATTTAATTGGGCGAAATGGCAAATGATATTTTGCACCCCAAAGAATTTTGAAATTCTCACTTTACCACCAAGAGTTCCTGTTTGAACACATTACACTCTCAACTTACCAATATTGTTCCAATTTGCCCCTTTTGTCAGTCCTTGGTTTGAATTGATAATGGCAGCAGGACGTGTGACCAACACAGGAGCTTGACCGAGGGGTATTTCCAGAAAAGTTGTCAAACTAAATCGTGCGATTCATGGATATCCTAACACTTGTATGGTTTACAAACACATGCATGGTACAATTCCAACCAAGGATAATCCCCACTCTGAATAAATATATCCTATATGTGTACACATGTACGAACGTGACTCTGTAGGTGGCTGCATGTGGCCTTGAGTTCTGGTGTGTGCTCATGGGTTTGGGTGTGTGGACCGTGGGAGGTTTGGTATTGGTGGTGTGGCCGACAGTGGTGAATGACTGGCAGTGAAGGGGGGCGAAGTGGGAGAGAAGCAAATTGTTATTTGGGACAATCTCCCAAAAATATCCTTCAGAAATCCACTAAATTGTGGTTATATGTGAGGATCCTCTTATGATTTGAATGTAGGAGTAACAGAAGGGGGAAATTGGAAGGGCATTGGTAGAATTAAGGGTGCAATGTGGGTCAATGTAAGAATACATAAATTCTTTAAGATTCAAAGTGGCATTTGCCCTTTTTTATTATTACTGGCCACATATTTTGCACATATAAAGATTAAATGGCAGTATTGTATCTTTTGAACTGAAATTAGGAGATCTTGGTTTTTGCATCTAATTATTGGAATTCTAAAATCAGTATAAATTATGCAATTGTTAATGTAGGCTTTAATAACATTGTCCTTGTCAAATTTGGCTGAAGCTCGAGAACTTGGATACGCCTTTAAACGTGCATTAACTGGCAATTGGACCAATCTATATGCTTATGCTACTATCAGGCTTTGGCATTGTCTCACATTATATAAACCATGAAGTTACGAATGTAACTTTACATGAGCTCCTTGCTTGATGTTAATGTGTGCTGTTGTAGCCTTCCAAAACCTTTTTTCCTTGAACTCTTAAATAATGGGCATATATGATTATCCATGTTTGAGTAAAGTGTGTAACACCTTGCATCTGATTGTCAGAGACATCATATGCATAATGTTAGCTTATATTAGTAATGCTCCAGACGTCATTTTTCATTCATGAACATTATTAAGAAGCTCTCCCTTTGCAGCTGATTGGCACCCCGTCAGAGGCTGAATTGGGGTTTTTAAATGAAAATGCAAAGAGATATATTCGGCAACTTCCTCCTTACCGTCGACAGTCATTTACTGAAAAGTTTCCCCAAGTCCACCCTGCTGCTATTGATCTTGTTGAAAAAATGTTGACATTTGATCCTAGACAGAGGATTACAGGTGAGAAACTTTTCCTGGCTTTGACAAATATTATATTATAATTATGCTTGTTATTTTATATATATTCATTTATTTATATTGGGTGTGTACTAATAAATGTGTATGATGCATATTGCTTCAGGATGCAATTTTGTTGTGCATGACTGTATGTGGTATTTGCAAGGCTTGTTCTATCATTGTGTAAATTATATTTTACAGTAACAATTTACCTGCTCATATCAAAAAAACATACACATAACCCCCAGAGGTTATGGACTAAGGGGCATCAACTAAAGGTGATGGCGCAACCATTGGTTTGATGGACCAATACAATAACCTTTGGAAGGTTAGGCAAAAGACTAGAAATTTTAGTCCAAAGGGAAGTGTAATTGGTAGTTTATTAGACCAATGGGTCTTTGGTCCAATGGTACTCCTTGGTTTGTGAAGGCTTTGCCTTCTTGAGGTCAAGGGGTAATTGGTAGTTTATTAGAATTAGTTTTATTATTATTATTTAATAAGGAATATTTATTTGAGTAGGAGTATTAGTGAGAGTCTAATTAGAGAATTATTGTAGACTTTAGTATGATAGAGATTTGGTGGTTTGGTTATGAAACTCTTTTAGAATTTTAGTAGGAGAGTAGTTTTTATTTTGGTAGGGACTTGACCTATAAATATTGATGTAATCCCCATTATTTAGATTGATTGTGTTATTAATAGAATTGTTTCTCTATGGAGAATTTTTTGTTTTTTTTGACCTAGTCATTGCGAGAGTTTTGTAGCCCTTCTTTTTTTTCTATTATCTTATATCTTCCTCTTCCGTCCTACATCAAGTTGGTATCAGAGCAAAACTGCGATCCATCATCCATCTATTGTTATTTCTCTCTGTTCGCATACATGCAATTCACTTTTCAAGCCAACTTTCTTGCTTACTGATGCTGTCCAGTCTGTTGCTACGAAGTTAATAACCTCGTTTACCACTGTGATCTTGGTCATCAACTTTTAGTGTTGCTTCCTCTCTCAGTCACTAGTGAGGCAAAGATCAGTGGACGATTGCTGAAGGTGTTAATCGAAGGAGACTTAAAATCAACACACCAGGTACTTGCGAAGAAGACCTATTCACTGGTTTTTACAGATTGCTCCAACCTGTCATCTTTAAACATTGACCCAATACCAATAACCCAAAAACTGTCCAGCCCAATACCCATGACCCAAAATACTGTCCAGCCCAAAAAAAAACCCAAGCCCACATTAATCTTGGCCCAACTCAGAGACTTTTTCAACCTATTAAAAAATATATATTCAGCCCACCCCAAGGAAAAAAATTTCCACAGCCTGAACCAGTCTTCTAAAATTCCAGTTTCTACCTCAAAAGTTTCAGAAATTACACTTTATGCCTCTAAAAGTTTCTGAAATTACAAATTGGACTACAAAAGTTTCTAAAATTTTAGTTTGGCCCCAAAAAATTCTGAAATTACAGCTTAGATGCTTTTTTTGAATTTTTTTGCACCTTTTCAAGTCACTGTATCATGATGGTCTCCAATGCCGAACTAAATGCTAGAGTGGAGGTTTTATCTGAGTCACGAAAGGCCATGAATGATAGGATGAATTTGCTAGAAACATACATAGTATCACTAAAGGAAATCATGAAAGCTTATCTCTTAGATAATTATAAATGAGTTGAGGAAAACACCGATAATTATTCATCTTCATTAGTCATCAATACTCCACAAGTTCTTGTACAAGCCCCTACACCCTGAGCTTAAGTTCAAGAAGAATTCAAATTATTTGATATTGATAAAGGAGTTAAGCTAGAAGTTGAGATTTTCATGGGAATAATAATCCTAAGATATTCTTTTATTGGTTACATAAACTTGAAAGTTTTTTCAGATGGTATCGCCTGACCGATAAGAGGAAGGTATTTTTTGTAGATTCAAAATTGAAGGGTATAGCAAGACTTTGGTGGGTAAAGTACCAACAAACTTGTTTTGTTCAATCATGAGATGATATGAAGACTACTATGACTTGCTACTTTGTGCTTACTAATCATAAGCAACGAGCTCATCTACTGTTCACATTTGAATTAACGACATATGTCTGTTGAGGAATGCACAGAAAGTTCTATAGATTAGCCACCCAATTAGAGTTTACTTATATTGAGGATGCGATGAATGCCATGTGTAGGCAAGGACATAATTCACATATTACTTTGGGTTTAGTTGCAACTCATCTTTACACAATGATAGCTACAGTTTAGGATGGAAGATAGGTTAAGAAAGAGAACTTCTATGAGATCTTATATGTCACCTACAACCCGGATTGAGAGCTGTCGTAGATGCAAGTTAAGTCCACCAATAAACCTCAAGAGATTACTTTTAGGCCCAAAAAATCACCTTGAGTTAGTGCTAATTCTTTTTCTCAAGGGAGTGCTAATTCTAAGATGAAATGCTTTAATTGTCATGGTTTTGGTTATCTTTTTTTTCAATGCCTTACTATTAAGAGATATCTTATATGCCATGAGGGGTATTTATGTACTTTGAGTCTTCTTATTATAAATACATGGGGTAAGGGAAATAGGCCTAATCCGATTCTTGGGGCTTTCTCTCAACAACCACCATATTCTGAAAATACTCTCTTCCTTTATACCTTCTCCTTGTTTCTTTTTTTATATTCTAACATGGTATCAGAGCTTGATTCATCGTAAGTTGATATTATTTTTATTTTATTGTTTTTCAATAACGTAAATCTTGTTTATTCCTCCCATAGTTTTTTTTGTCGTTTTTTGCTGAATCCTAAAAAAAATAGGAAAAAATTTCAGCATGATCAACTAAGGTTCATATATTCCCAAAATTTTTTAAAATTTTTTTGAATTTATTCGATGTATTTTTCAAAACTTTTTAATTATTTTTAGATTTTTTAATTTATTTTTTTGAAATCATTTATTCTAGCTTGTTTGAACTTTGATGCAATCTGATGACTGAAATAGCTCCCTTGGGATCCGAAATCACCTCTTGCCTTTATCCAATTATTGTTTCATCCATTTTGATGGTTCTTTGGCCAAATCTATAGTGTTTCTTGCTTTTTTTTTCCCGAAACAACAAACTTTTGTCACATATTTTTAGGCGCACCTGGACTTAGGATCGTGATGGACAATTTGCGGGATATGCCAATGCTTATTTTTTTGTTATTGGAAGAAAAAAATATATTCTTGCTTGTGCTACAGGCGCGTGTACTGTGCAACTAAAAAAGAGTTTTTTATTGATTCAGAGACCATATCCATTAGATGGTATTCCTGGCCCTTCTCTTTACTCATTGTAGTCGAGTTCTTTTCAGTGTTAGAGAATTGATGGCGCAACCATTGCTTGCTTGAACCAATATAAATCGACTTTGAAAGCCTAGGCAAAAGACTAGGAATTTTGGTTCAAAGGCAAGTATAATTGGTAGTTACATTCATCATCGGAAGCCTAGACAAAAGACTAAGATTTGAGAGTTTAATCATGAAACTCTTTCAGAATTATAGTAGGAGAGTATTTTTATTTTGGTAGGGGACTTGGCCTATAAATATTAGGAGTGCAACTTGGGCAGGCCAACCCGAATTTAAACTGAGCCAAATTCGAAAAAAAGGGCTTGGGTTAGAATTTTTAATACTTGGGTTGGGTCTGGGCAAAAAAATCCCATCCCAAATTGAATTTGGGCAAGCCTTGGATTGAGGCCTCGGGTTGTCGGGTTCAACCCGAATATATATAAATATATAAATATATTTAAGTAGGGTTAGTATTTATCTTCACTCTTTAGAGTCTAGACTTTTACTTCACTTCAAGTCGTTACCCTTGCACCTCCATCACTTTTAGATCCCTCTCTCAATCGTCACTCGTTTAAGTCGTCTTAGACTCTCAATCTCCCTCTCTCACTCGTCACTTTTCCCTCTCTCACTCCTCTCTTCATTTGCGCCTCGCCTTTCATCTCAGATCACTTGAAAAAATTAGATGTACACTTGAAAAAATCAAATTTATACTTCAAAAAATCAAATTTATACTTCAAAAAATCAACCAAAATTAAGTAACCAAAGACCAAATCGATTTTTAACTCGAAATCAGCCCAAATAAAGTAACTAGAATTCAACCCGAGTTTGCCTGAATTAAACTCGGGTTGAATACCTCGGGTTGAAATAGGGTTAGAGTTAAGATTGTAGATTATATATCTAAGGTTGGGTAAGGGTTGACCTCTCAACCCACCCAACCTGTCTGAGTTGCACCCCTAGTAAATATTGATGTAATATCTCATTATTTAGATTGGAGTGTGTTATTAATAGAATTGTTTCTCTGCCGAGAATTTTGTGTTTTTTGACCTAATCCTTGTGAGGATTTGATATCTTTTCTTCTTTTATATTATTTTATTTCTTCCTCTCCCATACTACATCAAAAGGGGTATCAATTTAGTATAAAAAGACAATTATACCTCCATCTCTTTTCTTAAATTCTTCGTGTTATCTTCCTAATAGTTTTATACAAACTTAAAAACTTGACTTGATGCATAGAAATGGAAGAAGAGAGAAAGAGATGTATTTTATTTTAGAGAGTGAGAAGATAAAACATATATTATGTGTGGGGGCGCAAAAATCATTGACATTTTTTTTTTTTTAAATATTGACTTTTGACCTTTGAATGTACTTTCATAGGTTATCTAATGGTTTTAATTTAGCTCAATATCATAGGGGGCTATGAAGCACGGACACTCTCGAGAAGATGACGTATCTGTGTCGGACACCGACACTCTTCGGACACTCTCGGACACATATCCGTTACTGTTTAATCCAGGTCTATAATTAAATTGAAAAATTTTAATTTCAGACACGTGTTCTACATTTCTTTGGTGATGTGTCCGACACTTTTTTAGAACGTGACTACTAAACAATAAATGTGTGTTGAAATGTGATTAACAAAGTTTAAAATTTTGAGAACATATAATTACTTTAATACTAGACATGTTAAAATTATACTCAAAATATAATAATAAAAATAAAAGATATATACAAGTTTAAAAAAAGAAGAATTGAAAAAATGAGAGCAATTATTTAAATTATATATTAGATACACATTGTTTACAAAAAAAATTGATGATTATTGACTATTATGATGATGCTTTAGTCTAAAAATTTACACAGATGACTACACATAAGATTTACTTATTATAAAATACTGAATCTTTTATGAATTGCATATCAT